GGCACCACCCAAGGCTTGGCCACCTCTCACCCCAGGCTGCAGACTCTCACCCCCACAATGCTGCTAGCACTCACATAGACAGGTCTCCGATGTCTGTGGGTTGATTGACTCAGGGAGAAAAGCAGGGAGGTGGGGATGGAAGATAGACTGGAACACAAACATCCTCACGATTTCCTTCCTGCAGGGGAGAGCTGACCCAAGTGAGTGTGATGTTGGGGCTGATGCCTCCTGCTCGAGCCACAGCACCAGCCACAGGGCAAACCTTCTGCGCCAGATGAGCCTGGGGGTGCCCTGCTGACTGTGGCCCAGAGCCCAGATTCTCCAGTGCGTGATGGACATGGTCATGGTCAGACACAGCTTCAGTAATGGACCTGTGGACACTCAGATGCTCCAGGAAGCCCTGGTGGCGTCCCTGCTCCACCTCTCAGCTCCATTCCTGCCTTCCTCGGCTGATTTCTCCTGCACCGGAAGAGGAGGGATAGAGGGCAGGGCCATGCACATCCCTGCCTCCGGGACTTTGCCCTTCACCCCCCTCCCAGGGCCAGAATTACCTTCCCCGAGATCCCCTGGCTGCATCCCCACTTTCCTCTCCTTAGAGCCTTCCCTAGCACCCTTCCACAATAATCTCGCCTCCCGTGACGCTCCAGCCCTTTCTCCTGCCCTATTTTCTTTAAGCACTTGTTGCTACATGCAGTTAGGTTTCTCTGTGTGTGTGTGTGTGCGCGTGCGTGCACGTGCGCACGTGTGTGTACATTTGTATGTATGCATGTATGTTGTCTGTTAGTTTATTGTTTCATGATCTGCCTCCCTGATTTCACATAAGTTACACAAAAGTAGGGACCTTGTCTGCCTTTCTGGTTACTGTCTCTCTGGGGCCTAGAACAGTGCCTGGCACAAGCGAGTGCCCAATAAACCTTGTTGAAAGGAAGAAAGGAATTGAGGAAGGAAGGGAGGGAAGAAAGAAGGAAGGGAAGGAGGGAGGGAGAGAGAGAGGGAAGAAAAGAAAACAACCTCCTCCTTCCCTCTTCCCCCCTCCCCGTCAGCCAGGGCTGCACGGACACACTGGGAGTTTGGGAGGGCCATCCTTTGCATTGCCTCCCACCTGGGTGCCCAGTGCTGCAGGACACCTGCACCAGGCTGATTCCCACCACCGCTTATCCATCTCACATCCTGTCCCTCGGGGCCGGCAGAGGTGACAGCACCAGGCTGATTCCCACCACCGCTTATCCATCTCACATCCTGTCCCTGGGGCGGCAGAGGTAACGGTCGTCCTGACTGCCTGGATTCTCCCTGCTTTCCACCCATCCTGCAGCGTGATTTTGGCTCGCAGGCAGGCAGGTCATTCCTATTTGTCTCATTTTCCCAGAGCAGCCTCAGGCTTAGCTTGGGACACAGCGTTCGATGTCCCTCAGCCCAACCCCCTGGAATTCTGGGGGTCCCAGGTGACTCACTGTCTTCATCGGGCTGGGGCTGCTGCCTTTCTGGCCACCTCTGTTTCCCCTGAAGCTGGAAGATAGGCTTTCTCCCTGAGTGACTAGAGTTCCATTTTAAAGTTCCATCAAAGTAGCCTTGCGCTTTTCCATTCAGACCAGTTTTCTTTCTAAGGCAGTTGGAGCACTTTCCTCAGGAGCTCTGTATACGGTCGGGTGTGTGTCTCTCAGGTGATCGCCGAGGAGTGCGTAGGCAAGGCCACCTCCCTGAGCTGGGCCAGGCTTTGGTTCAGGCATGTCGATTTAGGCAGTGGCCCCAGCGGTCCAGTACAGCGCTTCTTCCACTTCCTTCCGGAGCAGAAAACTTTTGCTCCTTTAATTTTTAAAAATTGATTTGAGAGGGAGAGAGAGAGAGAGAGAGAGAGAGAGAGAGAGAGAGAGAGAGAAACATTGGGGTGTTGTTTCACTTATTTATGCATTCATTGGTTGATTCTTGAATGTGCCCTGACTGGGGATCGGACCCACAACATTGGTGTATGGGGATGACGCTCTAACCAACTGAGCTACCCAGCCAGGGTGCTCTTGCTCCTTTACCTATTTCTTTGGCCAGGACACTCCTGTGTACTCCCTACGGTTCCTTTGCCAGCTTAACCCCTGCTCGTCCTGTAGCTCTTTGGTTCGAAGCCACATGCCCCAGAAGCCTTCCCTAACCTTCCCATCTGGGTAAGCAGCCTTTTTACGTGCTGACTCTTAAGGCCTGAGAGAATAAGGCTGTGCCTGTCACATTCATTGTCATATCCCCAATGTTGCCCAGCACTAGGCACATGGGAGGGACTTGAGGGACTTGATGAAACTGCTGTTAAGCGTGAATGAATTCTGTGTCTGCATCTTACAGGACTGGAAACCCCATCTCCCATGCCTTCTGTATTCTCTGCAGCCTGAGGTTAAGGCCTCAGCCTGAAGCACCTGCCCGATAGGGGTTAACTGGGTGTTTCTGCTGCTGGGGATGGGGAAGCTGTGCGGGGAGGGGCCACAATGGCTAGGAGGCCTCTCTCCTGTCCTCTCCACACAGGAACAAGGTAGGTTTGCCAGATAAAATATAGGACACTAGCTTAGATTTAAATTTCATATAAACAACAAATACATTTTTAGAATATTACATGTAATATGTCGGACATACTTATGCCAAAAACAATTAAATTCAAATTTAACTGGGCCTTCTATTTTTCCTTCTTTCTAAATCTGGTAACCTAGGCAAGGGCAGACATAGTCAGCCAGGTGCTGGGGGATCTGAGGTTCTGTTTACGTGGTACATTCTGCTCACTGTCTTACTTCTTCCTGATCTTTAAATGCTTTGGCCAAAGAACAGGGTGAGCACAAGGAGGGTTTGCCCGGAACTGTCACTAGTGCATTTAATCCAGGGTGTCTCCCTGCATCTCAACCCAGGCCCCTGCTACTAGAGTGGATGATCAGGGAAGGTCTTTCTGAGAAGGGCATATTTAGAGTTGAGATTTGAAGGAATGAGCCAAATAATAGGGGGGCGGGGTGTTCCCTAAAAGAGGTGGGAATGAACTTGGTGAGTCTGAAAACATAAAGGCTAGTGAGTGTGCGAGGGGAGGAGTTTGCATAGAAAACGTCCTGGGCCACATCCTAGGTCCCCAAGAAGGGGTCTTGAGGCTGCTCCCCTTGCCCACTCCACCCCAGATGTAGGGTGACTTCCAAGGCAGGAGTCTTCTTAGCAGGGAGGAGCAGGAAGGGAGAGTGAGTGTTTGCCATCCTGGGTTGGGGATTCTGGTAGCAGGGGACAAGGCCACAGATCCTGGTGCTTGACTGTAGTTTGGTGGGATCACCTGCTCTTTGAAATGGCTGGGAGGAGCCAGGAGCCCTTTAGAGCTAAGACCCCATGTGGTTGGTCCCATGGAGGTAGCTTATCTCACTCAGAGAGCCTTGTGGGTCCTCTCTCTGCTTTAAGCTGCTCTCTCAGGGTGTGTTCTTCCTCTAAGGGGGCTGCGTGGCCCTGGGGTGGGGGCGGAAGGACCTAAAGGGCCCCATCCCACCTCAGCTGGAGTCTCTCCCGGCTTTGGAAGGAGCTGACAGCACTCATGGGGTTCCCAGGAGCCTCCACCCCTCTGAGCGCTCTCCCCACCCCAGAAATGGCTCAGCTCCACATTCAACTCACAAGGCATCTGTTGCCTGCTGCTTGCCTAAGGAAGCTGTTGGCACCCTAAGGAAGCTGTTTGTTCATTTAAAATGTCCATGAATTCCCTCCAACTGGAAAGCTACCCCAACAAAGTTTATGTTCTTGGAGGGTTTGACCTTGGTCCCTCTGAGGGGGGCCCGGCTGTGTTTGTGCAGTGGGCACCCTTGGTGATTTGCCACACGCTTGAAAATGTTTCCTCCGAAGGGCCTGCTTTGGCCAGGGCCCTCCAGGAGCCTTTGGTCACTGCCCATAGGAAGCCCTCAGTGCTGGGGGCAGGTGGGGGAGGAATGTCCCTTTGCGGAGGTTCATTTGTGTCCAGGGGAGGAAACCCTATTTCTCTCCTACCCCCAAGACCTTGGTGAGTCTTGCCAGACATTCAACAGGAAAGAACCTTTTGTTCTGAGCTTGTAGGAAGTCGGAGAGGGACTTGTTATCTACCCACAGCATTTCCTGGAAAAAGAGCCTGGACGGGGTGCATAGGGCTGGCCCCTACCCTTGGCTTCCCCGCCTGCCTAGGGGAGGCTGCATGGCAGTCCAGGCCTGCAGGAGAGGCTGGGAAGGACTGATTGGTATCCTTAGGCTGGTTGGCCTAGGGAGCTGGGTCGTCTAATCTGTCTCACGCAAAGCCCTTGGCTTGGAGGAAGGGGCAAAACGTCACCGCGTCTGTGTGGGAGGGGTGGGGGGTGGGGAACTGGGGAAGGGGGCTGTGCAGCTTTCCCGCAGACTAGAATGACATCTCCTCCCCCTGGGCTGCAATGTGGGCCAAGGCCCGGCCGCGTCTGACACCTAGTGGCCACCTGAGACCGGGGCGGGGCGAGGGCAGAGCCGGAGGTGGGCGGGAAGAAAGGAAGGAAACCTGGCAGCGCCAAGGCCTGGCCCCGCACCTCGCCGCGCCCGGGCCCCGTCCCCGCCCATCCCCGCGGCTAGGCCCGCAGCCTCCGAGTCGGGCGTGGGCCCCGTCCCCGCCCACGGGGTCGCAGGTCCCCATGCGCCCCCGCACGTGGGAGACCTCGGGAGCCAGGTCGCGAGGCCCGGCTTTGGAAGGTTACCCGCGCGGGGGCCAGAAGGCCGGGTCACGGTGGTCGCCTTCTTGCCCCCTCTGCCCCCCTGTGCCACGCGGGGGTCCAGGTTTGGGCCCGATGTGACAGGACCCTGTCCCGAGATCGGGGGACCATTGAGGGCAGGCCCTGTCCGGAGTGTGGGGACGCGCCGGGACACTTCCGCCCCCCACGACCCCCCGCTTGACCTTCGTCGCGCCGTCCGCGGCGCCGCCAACCCGCCGCCGCCGCCCCCCGGTCGCCATGGCGACGCCGTGGCACCCAGGGCGGCGCGACTCGCGGAACCGGCAGAGCAGCCCCGGGAGCTCGCGGGCGGGCGGCGCGGCGGGGACGAGCTCGGGGCCGGCACCTGGCCAGGTAGGCGGCCCGGGTCGGTGGGACAGCGGAGCCCCGGCGAGGAGCGGGGAGGGTCCCAGGCGTGTGCGCGTGCGCGGGGCTGGGGGGCCGGCGGGCCCAGGTGTGCCGGCGCCGCGCCCGAGCCTGCTCTGCTCCACCTGCCGCCGCACCTGTCTCACCTCCCTGCTGCCGGCCGGCGGGGACCGAGCCAGGCCCGAGGTCAAAGGGCTTGTCCTGCTCCTTCCGGAGCGGTCAGCCTTCCGCCCGGGGCTGCCCCCGCGCCCAGTCTGCGGAAGTTGGAGTGGAGGGACAGGTAATCCCAAGTGTCGATAGCCTATGGCCAAGGTTTTGCCACGTCCTACGGCCAGGGTGGAAGTAGGGTAGACAACCACCGTGTGCCACGACTGGTCTGTTGAAACCTGAAACCCAGGCCGCCTAATTGCTGGCGTCCCTCTGCCCCTTTCTTTCCCCTGTAGCAGGGCTGACACGTCTGGATCCTTCCTGCTCTCTTCTAAACCAACATCCTCAGCTTGGTGTGAGCATAGGAGTTACTCCTCTGAGAAACCCTAGCTTCTTGGGTTGGCTGTGGTGGGCCCTGAACTGTGGGTACAGGGGTGCGGACTGGGCTACGCCTTAGACACCTAGGGGATGGCAGGGCCGCCTCCCCTCTCTGCCTGCCCTTTCCCCCAGGACACCCCAGAGATCCATGTGGTCCCTGGAGTGCTGACAGGTCATCAGAGGCTGGCAGCCCTCCCAAGTTCCTCTCCCTCCTGGTTGCCCCTCTCCTCTCATTCATTCTACCTCGGTGGTCTTTGAGGATTTCTGTGACTCATTAAATGAAGCTCCACCTCAGGATGCCTCGATTCTGTTCCTGTATTTTCAGAGCAAATTAAAAAAAAAGCTTTGCCACTTTTTCTTTGGTAGATACCTTGATTTCTGTTGTGAAATTGAATCGAAGCAGAAAATATAGGCAACTTGTAGATGTCAAAGTGAGTCTCATACAGACAAAGGGCTGCTCCCATGTGGGAGGAGCCTCCTGAACCCGGAGTGGAACCACCCTCCTTGTGTCTCTGCCTCCCTGCCCTGCCATCTTCCCTTGGCAGGCAGAGCTTGGAGTGGTTCGGCAGCAGTAGAAGGCGTTGCTGGAGGAATCACCCCAGATCTAGAGGGTTCTGCTCAGTGGGTAGCTGATGATGGACAGAGGAGAGTGTGGATTTATTAGAGGGGGTTTTGCTGTCTGCTGCCACCTGGTTCTCTGTAGCCTCAAACCTCATGTGTCAACAGCTTTTGATGTGTCTCTTCCTATTAAGACCAGATTTAGTTTTTGTTCGATGGCTAGTGACTGAATGCCTACTGTGTGGCAGGCACAGGGCTAGGCACAGGTACAGATTGATCCCATTTAATTTTTGCTTCAGGCCAATATAATGGTGGATCCCAGTATCCTCCTACCTTATGGATGAGGGAGCAGGCTCAGAGAGGAGACGTGGCTTCCTGGGAGCACACAGTCATGAACAGGGGCCGGCTTTGAAATCACGTCTGTCTCCCTGGCCAGTTTGGCTCAGTGGTTGGAGCATTGGCCTGCGGACCAGAAAGTCCTGAGTTCGGTTCCCACTAGGGGCATGTACCACTCCCCCCCCCCCCCAAATGAAATCACATCTGTCTGATCAGACTGCACCATGACTTGCATGGGCCCTAGGCACTTTTGCCTTTGTGGCAAAATGATAATAATATATTTTACAACTGAACAAAAAAATGGAAAAATGTCCTTGAGTGAGGATAAAAAAAAAAATCAGGAGGAAAAGTAAAAATTTAGGGTTGAAGAAGATGTATGTATGTATGCTGATGAATGTAATCCAGACTGAATTAAAAATTAAAACATCTGCCTGGCCAATGTGGCTCAGTGGATTGAACATCGTCCCACGCACCAAGAGGTCACTGGTTCGACTCCAGTCAGGGCACATGCCCAGGTTGTGGGCTTGATCTGATCCCCAATAGGGGGCATGCAGGAGGCATCTGATCAAAGTAGCTCTCTCACTGATGTTTCTATCTCTCCCTTGAAACAAAAAAAGAAAAAACAAATAAACATCTTCTTCAACCCTAAATTTTTACTTTTCCTCCTGATTTTTTTTTAATCCTCACCCGAGGACATTTTTCCATTTTTTTGTTCAGATAGAGTGGGAGGGAGAGAGAGGAAGAGAGAGAGAGAGAGAGAGAGAGAGAGAAACATCGACGTGAAAGGGACACATCGAGTGGTTGCCATCCGCTCGACCAACCAGGGCCGGGGACAAACTGCAACTGAGGTACGTGCCCTTAGCGGGAACCGAACCCGGGTCTCTCGGGACCGCAGGCCGACGTTCTAATCGTTGAGTCAAACTGGCCAGGGTTACTTTTCCTCCTGATTTGAACAGAAATCAAAACATTTTTGGGGTGGGTGGGTGGTCCCTACCAGTAATGAGAGCCCTGGCACCGAGTCTGGTGGAGAACCAGGCTCAGTGCTGACCTTCAGCTCAGCTTTCTTCCTGGGGGCTACTGGGATATGGCCCCAGGAAGATGGCAGTCCTCATTCTGCCTCTCTTTCCTCATATTCTAGGATGTTTTAGGGCAATTGAGCTTCCCCCCCTCACCTATCAAGAAAAGATCTAGCCCCACCCCCAACACAATCTATTCTAACTCGGTTAAAACCTGCTGTTGATAAGGAGGCAGTAGCCAGGCCGTAGGACTGGCGCAGTGTCTGGTACACACAATGAGATTAGGCCTGGTGATCTTTCCATGAGCCGGTTGGCATGGGGAGGGAGAGTGGTGCTCAGCACGTCCGAGCCCTGAGGGTAGTTCCTGTCCCTGTTTATTTCATTAAGTGGAGTCTGACTTAGGTGGGTGCGGGAGGGAGGAGTGACTGTTCCAGGAGCTGCCAGAGATCTGTCATCCACATCCTGTGCTCTGACGGGAAGAACGAAGGCCATGTGAGGGGCCACAAGAGCCCCCTCTCGTTCCGAGGCTGGTCTCCTGGGCAAAGGGAACCTTTGGGATGGAGAGTGTCTGCTTCCAGGCCCTTGAAGCTGCTGCCCACATTTCTGCCCTGAGAACACGGGGGGCCCAAGAAAGCTAGCGTTCTGGGGGTGGGGGGCTGGGCAACCCAGTTAGGAAGGAAGGGTGACAGTGTTCTTGCTGTCCAGATTGGGAAATGAAGGGGCATGACAGAAAGACATTTGCTTACTAGGGAGTGCATCTCAAATGATTTCAAGGTTTCAAGTGCATACGTGTTTGCAGGTAGGTCAGATTCCATCCAGCCTATTGAAGCGTCTCCCCTGAATCCCTCGGCAGCGGAAGCAGCCCCTCCTTGCTCAAAGATCAGTTGTCAATTTTATTGAACCAAATAAGCAATGGGGAAATGCCACTGCTGAAGGAATCTTTCAGTTCGTCATCCATAAAACACAGACCCACTCACCACTTTGTCTTTTTTGTAAATCTGGATTTTCACGCTTAGATCTTGTTGACAGTGAGGCCACCGTTAGGCGGCAAGGCACAGGCCTGCCAGAGGTAGGCTGGTCTTGCTTGGTGTGAGTTTTCCTGTCACCCCTCATACTTGGGCTTAGAATCACTCTCAAATTGGAAGGGGGATGGAAGAGACAGCTTGGGCCTCCCTAGTTCCAAAGGTCATTCTTTATCTCTGGCTTCCTCCTGGTTGCCTAGTTCCCTGGGGCCCACGTGGACCAGGAGAGCTGCCTTTGGCATTTGACATGAAGATCTTGCAATGAACCTGCCATCCTGTCACCTGTCTCGACCACCTGTTCCCTCCCTGCTGCGTTTTGCTCCCAGGAAAGCCCACAGGGGACACCAGCGCTCCTGTGATGTGGCTTTAAACTGCCTTCGGAGCATGCTCCCCAGGGGTGAGGAGGAGCTGGAGCCCTGGCACGGGAGGGGGACTGCCCTGCTTCACAGCACCTTCCTTGGCAAGCGCCCATTCAGATCTAGGACTGGCTTCAGCGTTTGGAAAGCATGACAGCTCTACCCTAGTGACTGGGCATTGGAGGGAGCAGTCTCAACACCGACAGACAACCACCCGGTAGGCCACCTAGAGGAGCCCTCCGCCTGAGTGGATTAAAGTAGGGAGGTACTCTGCCGTGTGTATGGTGGGAAGGGCTCTTGGAGGCCTGAGTTTGACTCGGGCTCGAATTCTGGCTGCCCTTTGCTTTTATTTTATTTTATTTTTTAATTTTTATTTATTATTATTTTTTTATCCTCACCCGAGGACATTTTTCCATTTTTTGTTCAGATAGAGCGGAAGGGAGAGAGAGGAAGAGAGAGCGAGAGAAACATCGATGTGAAGGGACACATCGAGTGGCTGCCACCCGCACGACCAACCAGGGCCGGGGACAAACTGCAACCGAGGTACATGCCCTTAGCGGGAACCGAACCCGGGTCTCTCTGTACCGCAGGCCGACGCTCCAACTGCTGAGCGGAACCGGCCAGGGCTGCCCTTTGCTTTTAAATCGGCATCTGCTCTGCAACTTACCTACGAGCCCCTTGAAGGCAGGGACTTACTGGACAGTCCCAGCATCTAGCAGCAAGGCCAGTATGTGGGAAGCACTCAGCAGATGAGTGAATTGAGCAACTATTTGCTGCTGGTAATTCCGGGCATGTCATTTATCCTCGTTGAGCCCCAATTTCATCTGTCAAATTGGGATAATACCATTATTATAGTGTTATTGCAAAGATTAAATGGGAGATGTGGGAGGTGCTGAGGACAGAGTAGGGGTTCCCTGGTCATGAAGTCCCCTGTTCTCCCAGTACACACAAGCACACATCTCCACTCCATCAGCACCTGCTGTCTCCTTGGGAAATTGGTCGGTCAGGGGAAAACCCGGCTCTGGCTAGACGCACCACCAAGTGGCTCCGACGTCCAGGAGCCACAGTCCTTTGCCACCCTGAGTTCCCACTTGTCCTTTCTGTTCACCCCTCCTGGCAGACAGAAGTGAAGGTCATGAGGCAGAGCAGGTCCCTGCTGTCCTTCCTGATTCAGAGCTAATCAGATTCCGACTGCCCTGGGTTCTCTGGGGTGAATCTAATAAAGGGAAGGACAGCATTGCTCTTCAGTACCATTTCCTTGTTGGAGTCGCAAGGAGTAGATCCCTGAGGACATGCAAGAAAGAGTGAGACGCATAACCTGCCCCCAGGAGCCTACAGGGTGCTTTAGCAGCAAGGCCCACACAGCACAGAAGGCAGGGCCCCAACAAAGGTAAGCAAGCTCCAGGCCAGCCCTGAGGACCGGAGGAGGAGGAGAAAGTGATGAGCAGAGTGCCCATTTCAGGTCGGGGGAGGGAGGGCTGGGGAGTGGAGGAGGGGGCAGTTGCAGGAGCGAGCGGGATCCAGGTGCAGCAGGGGAGTGTGAGGCTGCAGGAATAACGCCGGTTGTGGTTGTGTGGTTAGAGCGGCGAACAGTGACAGTCTTCCCTGCGTGGACTCGGGCTGCAGGTAGGAACCAGTGAGGGTCATGTTCCAGAGCTGGCATTTCACTGGCCAGGAGTGAGCAGCTGTTTGTGTGGCGGGTCTGCCGGTCTGAAGAGGGAGAGAGATGGAGCCGAAGCCCTGGGCCCTGGCTCGGGGGGTGAGAATGAAGCTGCGGGGAGGGACGTGCTGCGGGGAGGCCTGGAGAGAATCCCCGGGACTCAGCGGCCTGTGCGCGGGGACTAGGACAGCCGCACTGGCTCCCCGGGGGTCAGGAGAGGACCGGCCGAATTTGAAGTGTTTGAGGATGTTCAGGTGGATATGTTAGTGGACAGTGAGAAATGGGGTTTGAATTTGGGGGAGAGGACAGACCTGGCACTAGATTTAGGAGTCACCAGGGTAGAGGTGACAGATGAGGACTGAGGCAGGAGTTCCAGATGGGTTATCTGCCAGGCTTCTGGAAACAGGGTTCCCATCTGCCATGGGAGTGTTTCTGTAAGGTGATTGGACAAAATGTACCAAAAACCTAACAAAGAACCTAGCCCTTGCCTGGGGATTCTGTTTCTCCACTTAGGAATTAATTAGGCAAGTATACAAACATAATCACATAGTGTTTATTTAGTGAGGCACTTGGCCAGCTACTGTTTAACAAATGAGCAGATCTCTCATTAAGTTGAAAGAGCAGGTTAGCTGCTCTGGCCCACCGGGTGGCTCAGTTGTCCTGTGCCCCAAAAGGTGGCAGGTTCAATTCCCAGTCAATGTCTCTCTGGACCGCAGGCCGACGCTCTAACCGCTGAGCCAAACCGGCCAGGGTCCTGCCCTCCTGGTTTTTAATGGTGGAGTTGGCAACAGTTGTCAGACATGGCAGAGAAAACTGGTGTAAAGACAGTCCAGTCTCCTGGAGGACAAGGCCAGGCCCACTGGAACCCGTTCTCAAGCAGGAAGGGTAGAGAGCGTGCGCTCAGTATTAGAGGGGTGACCCCAGGATTCGTCAGTTAACCGGGCTATGGGTTCAATCCTGGGTCAGGGTGTGTGCGGGAGGCAGCCAACTGATGTTTCTCTCTCTCAAATTGATAAAAGTATGTGTCCTGGCCAGTGTGGCTCAGTGAATTGAGTGTTGTCCCATGAACTGAGATGTCCTGGTTCGATTTCCTGTCAGGGCACATGCCTGGGTCTCGAGCTAGATCCCCAGTAGGGGGCGTGCAGGAGGCAGCTGATTGATGTTTCTCACACGGATGTTTCCATCTCTCTTTCCCTTCCTCTTTCTCTTAAAAAAGCAATAAAAACATGTTTAAAAAAATAAAATAAAATAAAAGCATGTGCTAGGGTGAGGATTAAAAATAAATATCAGATTAAAAATTGGTATGAGCCTGTTTCTATAAAAGAATGTATATACATTTCTAGAAGAAAAGGATGTAAAGATCTAAGTCAAAATGCTGAGTTTTTGTAGTTTTCTGCTTCTCTGTATTTTACTGAAGGAAGTGTGTATTACTAACACCCTGTCCCCCATTTTATTTTTTGTTTTCCCCTCACCTGAGGACATTTTTCCATTTTTTGTTCAGATACAGTGGGAGGGAGATAGAGAGAGAAACATGAATGTGAAAGGGACACATCGAGTGGCTGCTACCCCTACAACCCAACCAGGGCCGGGGACAAACTGCAACCGAGGTACGTGCCCTTAGCGGGAACCGAACCCGGGTCTCTCTGGACCGCAGGCCGACGCTCTAACCACTGAGCCAAACCGGCCAGGGTCCTGCCCTCCTGGTTTTTAATGGTGGAGTTGGCAACAGTTGTCAGACATGGCAGAGAAAACTGGTGTAAAGACAGTCCAGTCTCCTGGAGGACAAGGCCAGGCCCACTGGGACTCGTTCTCAAGCAGGAAGGGTAGAGAGCGTGCGCTCAGTATTAGAGGGGTGACCCCAGGATTCGTCAGTTAACCGGCTCTGCTCAGCCGTCACCCTCTGCTGCAAACGAAGGAGAAGCAGGATGTTTTCACTGCTGCTGGGAGAGGCTGGAACAGCGGGAAGTGGGCAGCCACCTAGGGAGAGGAAACTGCTCTGCCCTTTGTCAGCACCTTGGCAAAGCAAATGGAGGCCATACCGCCTCTCGTCCGTTCCCGCCCCTCCCCTCCCCCAGGGTGTGCACGCCTGGCTGGGCCCAGGGTCAGGGGGACCAACAGATGAGGGTGAAGAGCTGGCATGAAGGCCATGGCGACCCGGGCAAGGCTGTGGAAACACTGGGGGACTGTGCAGAGGAGCCAGGAAGCACGCAGTGCAGCCCCAAGTACGGCTTTCCCAACCGCGAGCCACCACTCGGTCCATGCGGTGGGAATGAGCACCTCGCTGTCTCCCCGAGGCTGAGTCCAGTGGCTCGTGGAGTACCCTGTGCCCAGTGCTGGGGGAAGGCTGCTTGGCTGCTCCTGGTCCCAGGTTCGGGCTGGCGTAGGGTCTCAGCACATTACTCCTCCAGGCTGGGCTGAGGCCTGCTCTGAGTGTGCCCAGGCCCAGGGGTCGGCGGGACTCAGCTTCAGCTTCCAGGTTAAAAACCCGGGGATGGCCCTGGCCAGTGTGGCCCAGTGGTTAGAGCATCGGCCTGTGGTCCAGAGAGACCTGGGTTCGGTTCCCGCTAAGGACACGTACCTCGGTTGCAGTTTGTCCCCGGCCCTGGTTGGGTCGTTTGGGTGGCAGCCACTCAATGCATCCCTTTCACCTCAATGTTTCTCTTCTCTCTCTCTCTCTCTCTCTTTCTCTCTCTTTCCCTCCCTCCCACTCTAGCTGAACAAAATATCGAAAAATGTCCTCAGGTGAGGATAAAAACAAAACAAAACAAACAAAAAAACCTGGGCATGGGGGAGGCAGGCTCCCATTTCTCACCCCAGATGTACTTTGTGATTCACCTGGAAGAAAAAAATGAGACTAACCCTGTACCTTTAAGGGATTTGCTCATTTCTCTGCATTTCCCCTTTGAGCCCCACCTGAGAAAACCCAGGACCCCAGGAAACAAAGTAAAGCACAGGCACGGGCCCTCCTGTTCTCTCCGGAATTTGGAGGAACTTTACTTGCACCCTCTCTGCATGTGGATCTGGGCATCTTGAGCAGGACAGTTGGGCATTCCCACTGTGACGGGGCCTCTGAGCCCGGCTGGTGAGCTCCCATTAGCACAGAGCTGGGGGGAATGGGTGGGGAGAGGGAGGCAGCAGGGGTGGGCCTTGGGGTGCCTGGGCTGCATCTTTTGGAGGCTGTGGAGGGCCCCTCTGAGCTCTGCTCTTCTCCGCAGCTGCTGTCTCAGCATGGAGAGCCGCACCAACCCCAGCCCCGGAACGCTGCCCTGCTGTGTGGCTTTCTCCCAGCTGCTGGGCCTGACCGTGGTGGCCCTGACTGGCGCTTGGCTCGGCCTGTACCGGGGAGGCATTGCCTGGGAGAGCGCCCTGCAGTTTAACGTGCACCCCCTCTGCATGGTCATAGGCCTGGTCTTCCTGCAGGGTGATGGTGAGTCCTCCGAGCTCCCCAGGGGCTGCTCCTGACAGAGGTGCTTTGTGACCTGACCACTCCTGAGGTTTCTTGCCCTTAGACAAATCTAAGGTTCTAGAAAAGACAGTCAGAGAAAGAAGTTGGCTTGGAATCTGGGGACACCGGGAATCCAAACCGGAGCCTTGACGTTCGTGGGTGACACCTGCTATCCAACTTGTCCCAGCTCTTTCACCTCTTTAGGAAGGCGCACCCATGGGTGTGCGCTTCCCAGAGAGGAGGCCCAGGGGCTGGGCGGCGAGCTGAGGCTGCCTTCTGCCCGCCTGCTTGAAATTGGGGGAAAGCGGTGAGTGTGTAGGGGTGAGGAATGTCGGACGTGGCGGTCCTCCTGGGGTAGGAGCAAGTGGAGGTGGCCCACCCTGCTCGCTAAAGTTGTGAGTATCTGATCAGGCTTCAACGTTGGACTATTTGAGGACCATTATAGCTATAAGGTGAGCTCAGAAGCTGGGGGACACGTCTGTGACTGCACGATGAGCCTAAAGCAGGCTGGCATACACAGGACACCTGACAAGGCGTCGGGTGGGTGGGGCACACATGGCCCCAGGGCCCCTGCTGGGCCCTGTGGAGTCTGGTTTTCTCCTCCATTTTCTGTGGCTGGGGTACCTGACCAAGCCCTTGACTTGGAGCACCTCTCAGCCAAGGTGTGTCTCGTTGCTGCTGGGGCCCCAGGGCCTGGGGTTAGCGCACTGAGTCCGTCCTCACGCCCACAGCCCTGCTGGTTTACCGGGTCCTCAGGAACGAGGCCAAGCGCACGACCAAGGTCCTGCATGGGCTGCTTCACGGCTTCGCCTTCATCATCGCCCTGGTGGGTGAGTTCCTGGGCACAGCCCTCTCTCCCCATCTCTCCCCCTCTGGGCATCCCAGGCAGGGTCGCCTCGCCCGCTCCCTTCCCCCATCACATGCCCCATCTCTGGCCCAGGCCTGGTGGCGGTGTTCGACTACCACAAGAAGAAGGGCTACGCCGACCTGTACAGCCTGCACAGCTGGTGTGGCATCCTCGTCTTCGTCCTCTACTTCGTGCAGGTGAGTCCGTTCAGCCCCACCGCCATGGGGGCGGCAGGGGTGGGGACGAGCAGGGGTTGAGGGGAGGCAGGGGCAGGAGGTGTAGGAAGGGGCTACACAGTGCGTGTGCCACAGAAGGGCCCGTTTTACAGGGTGTGTGCCCGCAGGTGAAAGAGGTTCTTTAGCACAGCTGGGTGTTGCTTTCAAATTCTGAAATGGGTGCAAACCAGGATTCTACAGGCAAGAGGGGGGCCTCGGATCCCGGGCCCTTCCAGCTGACACCCACATAATCTGGCCACAGGTCTGGCCTTCCAAGGGTACAGGAATATGGAGGACACCAGGCCTCAGGCCAGGAACTTCCCCAGAGTGCTTAGTGACCCCCCGCCGCTCTGAAGGTGGCGGAACCAGTGGGTGGTGGAGGGGTCACAGCCTGCGTGGGTGTCTTCAGGTCGGTCTGAAGAGGGCCAGCTCAGTCCCCGCCACCCCACCTCGCCTTTCCTTCTAGTGGCTGGTGGGCTTTAGCTTCTTCCTGTTCCCTGGAGCTTCGTTTTCTCTGCGGAGCCGCTATCGCCCACAGCACGTCTTCGTTGGGGCCTCCATCTTCCTGCTCTCCGTGGGCACAGCCCTGCTGGGCCTGAAGGAGGCGCTGCTGTTTAACCTGGGGTGAGTTCCTGCCCCTGGACCTTCTGAGCCAGCGCTCTGTGGAGTTGGCCACACAGTGGTTTTCTCTCCGGGTGGGGGATCGAAGGGCTGGGGTTGGACCCAGGCATCTTTCTGGCTCAGGTGTGAATGGCATGAGGCCTGATGGTGACCTTCTGGGTGGCTTCTCCCTTCCTTCCACCTGACCCTGCAGGGCCAAGTACAGCACATTCGAGCCCGAGGGTGTCCTGGCCAACGTGCTGGGCCTGCTGCTGGCCGGCTTCGGCCTGGTTGTGCTCTACATCCTGACCCGAGCCGACTGGAAGCGCCCCCCCCAGGCTGAAGAACAAGCGCTGTCCATGGACTTCAAGACGCTGACGGAGGGTGACAGCCCCGGCTCCCAGTGACAGGCTGCTCTGGCCTGCGGGGACGGAGGGCCCTGGCTGTGGGGCCTCCTCGGGTCCCCACTCTGACGGCCTTTCGCAGGGCCTGAGGCTGCCTGCAGGACTCCTGGCTCCTGGGCTGCGGGGCGGAGCGGGTCGGGGGCATCAGGCAGTGCGCCTCTTTGAGCAGTGATTTCTGGGGTGTAGGGCTTGGCCACTTCTGCTTCCCCCTCCTCACTGCAGCTTTAGTGTCCTGTTAGTCCTGCGCAGACCCCGCCTGTTTTCCCCATCACCCCTCAAAAGGAGAAGCTTTGGGTCGGCATTTGGGTGGTCAGCCCCGGTCACAGAAGCTCAGACCTCTAAAGGAGACAGAGAGTGGCTTCCCCACTCTAGGCTGAGTCCAGGGTTGTGGGAGGAACCTGGGGCCTCAGCGACAGGCCTATCAAAGCCAAGACTGAATTCAAACCAGGAGTCTCACTAGCCTGGATGACACGTGGTCCGAATGGGCCTGCTCTCTGGCCGAGCAGAAGTGATATTATGTGTAAACTGTTTGTGTTCAGTGTCGGCTCCCCTGGAGAGGGGAGGGACTGGCCCCTGGGGAGCTCTGGAGATGTGGCTTTGGCCCAGCTGTGCTCCTCTGAGCCTTCCCTGTCTTACTCTTTGCCCAAGGGTGGCTTCCTTGGGAGAGGGGCGAGGGGCACGGGACTTCAGACAGCCCAGCCCTTGGCACTGAGGACAGCTGAAGAGGAAGCAGATGGCCCCCTGCGTGGGCTGTGTGAGTGGCGGCTTCCTTTCTAGCTCAGCCTGCGGCTCCCCGTGTCCCCACCCTCACGAGCCAGCCCAAGCGCTGCTCTGACCAGAGGCCCAGGACACCACCCTTCTTTAAATGAAAAGCTGCTACTCTTGCCCCTTCCCCTGTTGATAGGGAAGGGGCGCCGCCTGCTTCTGTCCAGGACAGCCGCATCTGGCCTCACCTTCCAGGGCCCATCTCTGCGCAGGTTGGGACTGCATCAGAATCACATTAGCCCCCAGCCCCATCCGTGTGCCGCGTTGTTAGTGAGTCACTGTTTGGCTTCAGTTGAGAAGCAACGTGATTAGAGCATTGATCTTGTATTTCTTGGACTTGGTGAATGTTCTCTCTTTGTTTTGTTCACTTTCTGGGCTTTGAGGAACATGACACAGTTCAAGACACCACAGTTTACTTAAATGAAGAAATTAATAAAATTTCCAAATTTATCGCTTTTCCTTTTAATGGTTGCCTTTTTCATAGCTACACGCTGCCTTGGAGAAAGGTCTCCTCCGCTGCTCAGATTTGCTGTGGGTCCTGCTTCAGGCGATGCCACTTCTCGGCGGGTGGCTGCGGCTCAGCACCCTCCCCTGCAGGGCTGGCCAGGCTCCAGCCCGCCTCTGACCCCCTGCAGCTTGCTGGGCCAGGGCGTTGGCCCGGTTAGACTGTGTACTCTGCAGGGGCCAGGCGTCATCCATGCTTTCATCACCTGGCACATGCTTGTGTAGTCAGATGTTTACATGTGAGAAAACTCCACCTTAGACAAACTACCAAAGGAAATTGTGTATCTCCCTTGCCAGAATGCCGCATGGACGAACGGAACCTTGGATTTACAAGAAAGGTCTGTAAACCAGTCTCCCAACGTGTATGTTGTATGACTGAGGAGCCAAAAGGCCCCCGAAAGCTGATCCCTGGTGGTCTATTTTATTTTGCCTGTGGCCAATTTGTGAAATACAATGTAGTGTTGATGCAACAGGTGACTTAATAAATGTCGACTGCAGCTGTCTCGCCGTTACCGTCGTTTATTGCGACGAGGAGCCAGGGCTCCCAGCAGTCAGGCACACGCAGGCAGTCCTGCTGGGCTGAGGGACACAGGGTGCCCCAGGCTGGGCGCAGGAGTAAGTGCCCACTGATACCTATCAGCACCGGCTCTGAACTGGCCGTGAGTGTGCAGCCTCCGGCCGGTGAGGAGGCTCTCCCGTGGGGTCAGGGAAAGCCCTTCCTCACGCCTGAGAGGGGCCTGGACGCTGGAGCTCTCAGGGCCTGATAAAGGCCTCGGCAAGGAGTTCCCCCCAGTGTTCCATCAACCTTTTTCTTTTTAAAATATGTCTCTTTATTCCTCAAGAAGATGAGCAGAGCTTTGGGCACAAGCCAAGGTCCCACTTGAGATCAACTCCTAAGGCTCAGCAGATGTGTTTATGGGAATGTTGGGTGGGATTTCCCTGGGGTACACTGTGTGCTCCTGAAAAACACTGTCACTTAAAATGACTCCAAAACTTAGGCCGAGGGTTCACTCCTTAACAGGACCCTACAGCAAATCCTCTGATGTAAATAAGCCTTTAGTGACGTGGATTCTTCCTAACATTGCTTTCATTTTCAGTGTGGTATCTGGTTTCTAACGTAGGGCCCAGAGCTGGAGAGGTCTTTGCTTTATGCATCTGTAGAGCCTTTCTCCTGAATCAGGGCTTCTATGTGGACCTTCATTTGCTTAAAAGCATGCAAAGCACGTTGCTCAATTCCCGTCACAAGCTGATCTCTCAGTCAAGGTCAGGGCCGCTGGCTCTCGGGTGAGGGCAGAGGCATCTTGACTGTGTGCGCTGTCTCCTGGCTTTTGTGTTGGCCTCAGAGTCTTAACAGTCTGTTTGTGAACATTCACATGATCCCAGACAGGATGATGCATCTCCCTCCAGAGTTACTCCTTCACCTCCTCAGGAGGGGCCTTGCCCTCTTACGGGTTTGGAACCTCAAGAGGTGCCAAAGCGATTCCTCTTGACCTTGGTAGAGTTGTTTCTCCAAAGGAGAACAAAGGAGCATTTTCCAAGCTTCTTGACCTGCTGCCCGTCCTCCTTCCACGGTCACTCTGGCTTCCTTCTCCAGGTCCCCTTCCGAGGGAGGGGCAGCATGGGGCAGGGAAAGCTCCAGGCAGAGCTGAGTCAAGGTCCCACCTCTGCTCTCAGGATCTGCTTCATTTGTGTTGTAGAGAGAACGATGCCATGGGTCAAAGCTTATGTGAGGAAAAAATTAGGGAACATGTGTAAAGTCCCTATCACAATGCCAGGGACATAATGGGGATCTCGAGAACGACCCATCACAATGGGCTCAGCACTGTCTTCTGTGGGACCGCTCTTCCATAGTACCCTTGTTATGAAAGCCCCATCCCTATTCCTGGGAACAGGACTGTTTCCAAATTTCGGGGTCTGGCTCACATGTGCACATGTGCCCAGTGGTGCAGAGAGTTACAAGAAGCTGCTGAAGGGCACCTGTCAGGGAATGAAAACGAGGGGAAGACAGTCTGACTTGGGACTTCTGGGACTCAACAAAGTACTTGCTGGAGTTTGCTGTTTGCTACTGCTCTGTTTTTTTAAGTCAGGTTCAGGACAAATTCCTTTTTAAGAACCAGCTTTTTAGGAATCACTACCTTTCATCTTTCTTCCAATGTTCCAGGAATCCTTAAAATGTTTTTTTTTTTTTTTGCCAACCACTTACCCATTTTTTACTTTTATGTTTTATTCCTCACCCGAGGATATTTTTCCATTTATCATCAGACAGAGTGGGAGGGAGGGAGGGAGAGAGAGACCCAAACATCGATGTGATAGAGCCACATCGACTGGTTGCCTCCTGCACGACCCAGGGCCAGGGATGAACTGCAACCGAGGTACATGCCCTTGACTGGAATCGAACTGACTCATTGGTCCGTGGACCAACCCTCTAACCGCTGAGCCAAACCAGCCAGGGTACCCATTTTTTATTTTTAATGAGCTAACTGGCCACCCAGGAATGGCTTTCAGAAGGAGCAGGTGATTCTTCCCAGAGTCCTCTCCTCTTCCAACAGTCCTGGCTGCAGGCAGGATGACTGTGCATGCCTGGATTTCCCAGCTTTGGTCGTTCGGGGGAAGCGATGTAGTTACCCGGCAGGTATATTTGTTCAGCACAATCTGGTGTCTCAAGGAAGTGGTTCCCTTCCTTGCTTGTCCCTGAAGTAAACAGAGGTAGCAGCTCGACAGCTGCTAGAGGCAGCAGGAAAGGTGGCAGGTCTCAGTGCTGGCCACTTTTAAAAAAAGATATCACGTCTCCAGCCAGTTTCAGGAAACCTGCAACCTCTCCATTCACAATGCAGATGCCTAGCTCTCTACATGCTGAGGGTTGGAATTTCCGGCCAGACTTCTGAAGAAAATATAAAGCCACTGGAAGCAGTGGGCTTCCAGGGCTGACCAAGTTAGCTGTGGGAACAACAGCTAGGGCTGTCCCCTTACCCTCGGACACACATCTCTAAACGTATCAGTTCAAGCTGGTAGTCTGCTTCCGCCTTGGGTTTTGGTCCTGCTGGATAGGGAGCAGCCTCAGCTTTTCAAATGAAACGAGGTCAGTGCTCCCTCGGTATGGCTGGAGAAAGATTCGTCCATTGAAGAAAATGCCTCCCTTTCTCAGCAGATGCATGAGCCTCCACTGATAGGCCCTAGGACTGTCTCTCTTTGTCCACAGTTCTCGAGTGCCTATCACAGTGTCCAATCCGAGGAGGTGCTCAACCACTTCAATGAGTGAATAAAGCCTGAAGGGGTGATTCTGAATGTCCCCCAAGAGGCCAACCAAATCATCACATATTTGGCATTTGCCTTAACCTGCCAAAGTCGTCCTCGGGGAGCTTCCTCAGCACTGCAGGCCTCAGTGAGGGTGAGCTCGGGGCAGCTCCCTGGAGAGGTTTTGTAACAGAAGGAGAAAGCACCACCACACCATGTTTTTCCAAGTGTTACCCATTTATAAATAAGTACATTTGCTTTCATACATACAGTTCATTATACAGATGGCGATCTGTATACATGGGCAGGAAAATGCATTCACTTAACTTTTCACATCTATCTCACACAGCTCACATGTACAGACAATAAAACTGCTCAAGCAAGTACAGCGAAGGAAAATGCCTTTCCTTATACACAGGGCGCTAGATGCCTCTGTTGGGTGTGGGATGTCCCCACGGCACGAGTTCACAACTGTGTGGTGTTCAATATATCAGGATAGAGAACAAACATGCATTGGATAATATACTGTACAGAGAAAGTCCTTTACATCTGAGTTATAGAAAACCTAAAGGAAAACTAAGTGCATTAAAGCTTTTTCCAGCAAGTGTCTTGAAAGGACAGCAAAGAGGAGGAAGAATCAAAATCATATTAGTACAAATCACTCTTTAATTGTAGACTGTACATGTGTGTACTAATTAAAATCATCTTGGATCTGGAGGAGACAGAACAGACAAACGCTGTGCTATATGGAAGGGAGCCCATGCCCGAGAATGGCGCCTGCCCCGGGCCTGACGAGGAACCGGCCCCACTCAGCAGGAATCAGCCACAGGAAAAACAAAAAACAAAGAAACCAGAATAGGAAGTGTAACTTACAGATTTCCAAACAACCTGTGAATGAAGTAGAGACCTGGAGCCAGCATTTCGAACTCTTTTTTTCCAGTTCAGTTGGAACACAATAAGGCAGGTACATTTAAGTACTCAATTTTCCAGAATTAACTCTCTGTCTGGTCCTGGGGACAGAACGGGTTGAGTCGAGTCCCCCTAACCAGGTGTTCTGGTTAGTGATTAGGCAAAAGAAAAATAGCCAGCAAGTGCTAGAAAGACAAAGCAGCTAGGCTCCTTCCTCTCCACAGAGCAGGTCCGTCTGAAAAAGCAAAAGCGAGCTGGCCCACATCTACATGCATCCAGCTACCACCTGACAGGTCAGCCTAGTGGAGATGTCACAGTCAGAAGGAAGAAATGAGATGATATGGGTAAGGAAACATGAAAGTAACACTTGATTTTTGGTGTCCAATTATGCGTTCATTTGGTACTGACTTTCAAAGCTCTGACTGTGGCCATCATGTGGCCACAAACATCTCAGGGTGGTTCAGCTGCTGTGAGGCATTGGACACCGAAATGCAGGTTACCAACACTTCAGCCCTTGAGTGGTCTGTTATAAAAGGAGTTGATGAAGACCCAGTGGTTATTCAAGTAGCTCTGCACATGGCTCCACCAGCCCCATTGTGCTTGTATCCAGGCCCCCAGCCAGCCACCTTTTCTTGGGAGCAGCCAGAGCTGAGTTCAAGGCATTGCATGGTGAAGGTTTCCATGACACGTCTTTGTAGGTAGCTCTTACCCCTAAGCCCTTTGTTCATTGTTGTTAGTCATGGTAGATGGTCAGTCTGGAATTCCTAAAGGAAAAGGAGAAAAAGCCACACCTCCCAATGCACATGCAACAGGGCAGCTTAGGGACAGACAGGCAGGGCAGGTGAGGCTGGGACAGGGGTAGGCACATCCTGACCTCCCGGGGGAGCCTGTTCCATTTTGTGGCAAAGATTCAATGACCAACTGGTTTGTCCAAGGCATTTCTGCAGTAGAAAAATAACTATCTTTGACTCAAACCATCCAACTATGACCTCTGGAGTTACAAAAGTTGGAGGCCAAGAAGAACTGAGATGAGTGCTCATGGGGAAGAAGAGGTCTTCCACAT